AAGCCCCCCTGATTTGTTCCTTTTTCTCTTTTGCAGGCCTTCTTGTGCAACTCTAGGTTACTTAGCGTGAGAACGCCTGCATAAGTACCTTGTCCTGGTAGGGAGGAGGGGCGGGGAATCTCATCTCTGGTAGCCCAGCATCTTTATGTTCAATGTAGAAGGAATCGCGATGATGCTGCTCCCAAAGACGGTACTCCGGGTTTCCCGCCAAATAGTCACCTCAGATAGTCCGCAGTCTACCTCATGCTTATGAGGCGATGGCGATCCATTAGCAGATCCCAGAGTCCTGAAATCCCGTTCCACCCAGTCACTGGCCTTGCACCCCCCACCCCCCCCACCCAGCAGTACTAGTAAACCCACCCCTACCCCGTGTATTATACCATAATCGAAATACTGACAGGGAGGCTTTTGCCCCCGATGAAGCCAAAGGCACATTCAATATATGCGTGTTTGGCATGATTGATGCACTTCTCGTTGCGCCAGCTGGTCCCAAAGTTGATCTGCACCCTTGTCCAGCGCTTTTCTTTCCTCTGACATTCCAACCTGCATTTGCGGGGCTCAAGGTAGGGAGGAAGTTTGACACCATGGTGAACATTGGAAATGTGAATGGCCGCGATTGCAGAAGTAAGACGTGTACTGAGAAACCAGGACATGGGGAACGACAGTTACCTGCTGGACTTGTGACTACTGAAGGCCCACCACCAGAAGCTAAAATCAAAACTCTACCTTGTCAACAGCTCTGCTCAAGAAATCCTACATCCACCCCTTGCCTGACATGCGGTTGGGGCAAACATGCGGATTGCAAAAAGTCCCGCTGAAGATAAATCGGGGTGTATGAAAGGGCCGCCTTCAGCATGTGACCCATATGAGTAATTAATGAACTTCTGATTTTTGAGGAAGTAAGATTGCTCTCCGCTTCCAAACTACTACGCTCAAAAACGCATAAAGGCTCTACAATGTATAGCACCCCTCTGAAAAGTAACAAGGGATCCTAGAAACTTCAGAAGCCCAAAGCTCTAAACCTTCAACCCTAGGCTGTCAAACCTTTGAAAATGCCCGGAACCCTAAACCTTGGATTTCAAACCTTACATCCTCAACTCTATAAACCCTAAACCCTAAAACCTGAATCCTAAGCCCTAAACCCTGAATCCTAAATCCTAACCCCGAAACCTGAAGCCAAGAAACTTCAGATTGCCGGTCCAGCCGTGATATCCATCCATACGCCTCGCACTTCAAAGCACTGCTTCCCTCTTAGGGTTTCGGGTTTAGGGTCAGGGGTTTAGGCTTTTGGAGTTGAGTTTAAGGTTTAGGGTGTAGGATTCAGGGCGCTGTCTCCCTCCATCTTTTCGAGAGCCATGTGGGTGTTTCTTGAAAGCTAGGTCATTGTTGGAAAATACACGCGCAACAGATCTCAAGACAGCACCATGGACCGCAAACGCATCAAACCAGCACCAGGGACTGCGCGCAAACGCATCAAACCAGCACCAGGGACTGCGTGCAAAATGCATCAACACAGCACCGAGGACCGCACGCAAACTGCATCAAAAACAGCACCAGGGGCTGCGCGCGAATCGTATCAAAATAGCATCAGGGAATGCGCGCAAAATGTATCAAAAGCGCACAAGAGACCGCGGAAAACGTATCAAGACAGCACCAGGGACCGCGCGCGACACGTATGAAAACAGCAACAGGGACCGCGCGCAAAATGTATCAAACAGGACACGGGATGGCACGCAATAAGGAAAATTATGCTAGAATCTAGATTTCACAATATATCCCTATAAGGAAGCAGAAATGGGGATTGCAACAAAAACTGTTGGGGTTCCGACTTTGAGGAACACCAATAGTCCATAGAATTCAGCTCCGCGCAAAACCATAAAACATCCCCATGTACGCGATATTCTATCCCTAAACCGAAAACCCTAAGCCCTAAATAAAAAGTCCGCATACCCTTATTCTATCTATCTACTTTAGGGCTACACTTCAATTGCTCTCGAACAGAAATACGCAGCTGAATCTGGTCCTGGTTGGAAGCACATGGTTAAGGATACTGGATAATTTTAATCAATGGGGGGTCGGTGTACCTTCATAAGGAAAAGATAAAACAAAGCTGAGGGCCAAGAAAACAGTGTGCAGTCCTAGTTAAGGTACCCCTCTGCGCGTTCCCCATGATTATCTACGAAACCCATCCGGCAAAACATACAGGCTACTCAGAGGTATCGTCTATGTCCCGCAAGCAAATTTCCTTACGAAGACGCGTGGGGCATGTTACGTAGGAGCTTTCTAGTTATCATGTCCGCCGGCGTACATTAAACCATCACATCTTATCCCATCCATGGAACACTGAAGGGCCGCCGACATAGCGGAATGTAGTAACAACTCAACTTCCAATCCCATCCAACCACGGTGACCCTAAACCCGCAACAGAGAAAATGCACGAATGAACCTGGTAGCCAGATTACGAAACACCAGCGTTGTGTATAAAATTTCTGCTGCAAGAAGCTGTAAGGCATCACCTGGTGATTACTTGGATTTTCCACTCCGTGGCTAATGAACGCACGTTTCCACCATGCCTCGCGCAGATGCGCTTGGTGTGATCCTCCCAAATGCGGAAGGGATGATACCAATTGACCTCTGTGTCGCAAACCATCCTGTTCTCTGGGAGCCAGCACCTCAATCACTCTGCATGTGAAACGCTACATGACAGGGGAACTCACCTGGACTTTTTTAGGGAAGCCCCCCAAATGATGATAGACATCTGGCATCTGGGGGGATCTGCTGGAAAAAATCTAGGAGCTGTTAGGAAGCTCAAGGACATGTAAACGCGCTTATGTGGAGCATGTGTGGACGCCAAAATCAAGCATTTCTAAGCTGATTGGATGTCTGAGCCTTCCAACCACTCCAAAGTACTAGGCCTCCTATGTCCTGAGTGAATGGGTTCATCCCAGGAATAGCACTGAAAGCCATAAGACAGCAGCTGAACCTGATATGGATATGGAAAAAGAGTGACCATTTAGTACTGACAGTGGTGCCCGGCGGCCGTGTGGAGCAGAAGATGCAAAATGATACCCTGATCCCCCCCTCCTCTGTTTGCCCGTGCCCCACTGCAACGTTAATATCTTCCAGTTTCGAGAGCATACGATAGCTAGAGTATCCATGCACAAACCATGATATCGTCCATTTCCTGAGGCATATGATAACCCTAGCATCCATTCACAAACCATGCTATCGACCATCAATGCCCAAACCATGATATAGTCCATTTTCGAGGGCATATGATAACCGGAGCATCCATGCCCAAACCATAATATCGTCCATTTGCGGGAGCATATGATAACCAAAGCATCCATGGGCGCAGTCAAAAGCCAGCCTTGGGGTGCGGGCAATTCAGGGGGCGAGGGGGGGGGGGGGCGTCAACATCATGCTAGCAACGGCAGCAGGCATAAGTAATACCGGTGAATATTCTGACAATTCTAACGCCATCCGTAACAACAATCGCAGTAGGTAGCATGGTAATGACAACAACGCATTTTGGACCAAGCACCGATAACAGCCTTATACATCTTCAGCCCAGAGACCTACCTAAAGTAGATACTTCAATTTCCCAAAACATGGGGCCCCAATGTCAACCCCGAAAATCTTTCACATTATAGAACCCCCGAAACAGAGACCCCCAATGGCAGCCAGCCGCCATATATACGAAGATATGGTACTGTAGCCTCCCTCATGAACCCCACATCCGGCTAGCTTACCGAGCTCCTTGGCAAGGGTATTTTTGGTGATGGGGACTCAGTAGTTGGGGTGGGAGGGCAGTTGGTGGGCGGACATGCTTTCGCAACGCTGTCGGACGTATTCTTAGGTCTCAAGATTTCTGGATTTTCCAGGCTTCTAAATTTCCAAATGTCTCAACTTTCGAACTTCTAGACTTTCCTGAACCCCAAAGACCCTGAATACTGCAGAACTGAAGACTCCAGAGCTCACCTGTAGAGGGATGGTGTCCAACAGCCACCAATGCGGACTGTTCCCCAAGGCCCTTTCAAGGCCTGCTTTCGGGTCTACTGCGGAGGGACAGATTTGAAAAGTTTTGCCAAGAGGTTGATGTCGAGGGAATCTTAGACACTGAACGCCTAAATCCTGACAGCCATGGACATGGCAAAGTTGCAGCGCGTGGTGTTGGGGATTTCATTCGGATCAGTGAGCAGGGGGCTGTTGGTCTTGAGTTCGTTGAGAAAGTTGTGTTGGAAAAAGCAAAAAATTATGTTGGATAAACTTCTGCCTTGCAGTCGATCTCCAATTTCCTTGGCTGGACAAAGAGTTTAGCGATTACGGTTTCGGAGCACTAAATCTTACACGGCCTTGCAAGAAGGTCAAATGTTGATAGGTCCTAATTTGCGCCAGCTCTTCCATACCCCAAAGCATACAAGGTTTAGGGCTCATAACCTGCGATGCAATTTCAATTCTTCAATATACCCTGAACTCTACATCTCGATGCTTGGAAATCAACATCGCAGGGCGACATTTGCTGTGATTTGGGGGTCTTTGCTCTCTCTTTTTTCTTGGTCTAATCCAAATCAAGATGCGCTGTAGACCCTAAACCCCAACCATCTACCGATCCCAAGCTGACATGTCTGGAAAGCGTAGAAAGACGAATTCCATGTTCGTTGAACGGAGGCTACTCTGCTTTCTGGTGGGTACCTTTGCAGAGAGATAATAACAGTTTCCACTTAATGTGCCATTTGATGTTCCATTATCTCTATACATCCCTGTATACGACTTTTCAACATGCCCACCATCCAATCGCAAACGTCGGCAAACCCTCAATAGATAGTTTTGGTGGTTGGGGTGGGACTACTAAGCTGCGCAAGCGCGCGACAGGGTGCGCACCCCTATACCTAAAGAAAAGCCGTGCATCCCCTGCACGTCCGCTGAAAAACGCCCAACACCCTAAGCCTTAAGCCTTGAACCGCAAATCCTAAGCCCCTAACCCCAAGCCTAAACACTCATCCAAGGTTCATTCCCCAGCCCCGACGACTATCCGTGCGCCGAGCGCACACATGCCCGTTACGCTGCTCAATGTAGAAGGCATCCTGGTCTATGGGAGAGGCTTGAAGTTTTTAGGGGGTACTCCTAGATCCGTAAATCCTAAACCCCTTTAAAGAGGTCAAAGGGATGTATGATATACTGATCTAAAAATGGAGAATTCTCAACACTGGTGGTACCCCCACCTTTAACTGGGTTTAATGGACAAAATGCAAGGTTTTAGGGTGTAGGGGTCTTACCTTCAGGTAGCCTTGATATCAGAAGGGGCTCCTTGACAAATCATAGAGGTTGCAGCAAAGCACCGGTTTTTGCGTGATAACGACTTACAGGACGAGAGGTTGTAACTTCAGTGTTCCCTAAAGGTCCAGAGTCTAGAATATGCATGGGCCGGTTATCTGGCAGGTTAGACCGGCAAAAGCTGATAGCGCTTCAGGACATGGCTGCAAAGTCAGCCCCTTGAATCGGCGCCTAGAGTCACCCTTGTCGGTGTTCATGCTCCGGTACTCCCTGTTGCCTGCTACATCGGCGCAGCGAAGGCCTTTCTGCGACTGGCGAACGCACTTCCTCTCAATCGTCAGGGAGAAAGAGAAAGAAAGTGAAATTCTTGACATAAAGACGGACGGAGTAATTCCTTCAAGTCTTCAAAGATACATTGCGTAATGCACTGAGTATGCACATAACTTTGAATGTTGTGCTATTCTGCAGTAAGGTTCTCGTTGTGGTGGCTTCTGCCGATCGTCACCTTGGTCTTGCCCCAGAGCTGTTCATATTGCTTGCACTGAACTCTCAAGTCCATGCCCCAGCCGCCCCTTTTGTCCTCGGTTGCGCTGGGTCTCCTGCAAAACAGATGCATGGAATGTCCTATTGACTTTTTCAAAACAAACAAACTACTTCCTGTTGAGGGCCCGGGCATCCGTCCGTCTTACGCACAGGTGGCCGGTGTGAGAGTTCCAGATGTAGAAGGTGTCGCCGTTCTTGTGATTGTTTGCGCGCTTGTGACCATTGCCTGCATCCGACTCGCACTCCACACGGTGAGTGGGCAAAACGCATTTCGTATTGGTACGGGACTTGCCGAAGTTGATGTCTTGGACAACATAGTTGATGTTGTGGCCCTTTGAGTCGCATTCAAGCACAAGGTTCATGCCCCATCCGTTTGAGTTGCGGCGGCGCCTTCGGTGACGGCGGCGCCGGCGCCGGCGGTGCTCCAAGTGACCACAAATGCGGCCACCCTCTTCGGTGATCTTGAAGCCGGCATCATGCCCATCAAAGCCAAGGCGGTGGCCTTTGTTACCTGCCCACCAGGGGCAGTGAACTGGCTCAGGTGGCAAAACGCATTTCTTGTTGTGGTGGGTCATGCCCAGTGGGACCAAAGTTCCGCCTCCTCCACCCTGATTGTTGTTCACCTTGCACGCCAACTCCAACTCCATGCCCCATCCGCCATTCCACTTATCAACGCGCCTCACGCACAAGGCTCTGGGATCGTTCTTATCATTGGGATTCCGGTAGACGTGGAAGCGATCTCCATGCTGGTCATGTGCGTTGGCTCGGTATCCTTTGTCCCCAGCCTTCTTCCAACAGTTCACGTTGGAGAAGGTCTTGCCACAGTATTCTCCACCACCAGGGTTCTTCCCAATGTACTCGATGGTGACCCCGGCCTTGTTCATGGCCAGCTCGCGAGAGTTGTCCTTCTCTGCCATCTCGAAGCCAAGGATACGAACCCACTTGCCGACTGAGCCCAACACCGGGACTTGGGCGCCTAAAAGCACATCCACCCCAACGGCGACACCGGTGGGCCCCCGGGCATTGAACATACTTTGAAGGCAGTTGTACTCTCCGTGGCCCTTTTTTCCACAGTGGCTGTAGACAGCTGGGGTGAGGTCCCCGAGATTCAAGTTCACCTCCAAAGGTGCTTGGACGCCCAAAGGAGGTGGGATGAAGATCGGAAGGCTCAGGGTGATCGTCATCTTGTTGATGAAGGGGTAGTAGGCCACATGCGCTATGCCGGCACATGCGCTCCAGCCAATGGCATCAGCAATCTTCCCGAGCACGCCGCCGATGCACAAGGTGACCGAGGCCCAAATGTGAAAGCTTGTGAACATGGACGCCTTGTTGTTGCAGGTCTCCACGGACACCCCAAAGCTCAAAATGAACCTGGGCGGTTTGCACTATCTTCTCTTTGGGGCAGGAAAATGCTTCTGGTTGTTGTTGCTGGTCCTAACTCAACAAGACCGAAACACGAGAGAGCATCGCCAGGTTTCACTCCTTAGCTGCTTCACATAACGTGGAAAGAGGGCAAAGGTTTCCGCTTCCGCATCTTTTTGGCTCTCATTTTCTGATGTCGAAGTCTTCAACAACAACTATTATAAGAAGGAATTGTCACAGCTGTAAATCATGTGCATGCACGCCAAACCCTTGAAGATGTGCAATCTGGCAATTATGCAATGTCGACGAGAACGCAAAAACACGTGACCTTCAGAACCAACCGCACCCAACTTGCTTACGACCCTAAACCCCGAGCATAAAACCCTAATCCTCAAGTCCTAAACACTAACAACCTCAAGCCCAGACGAGACTCCGAAGCATACGGAGCACTCGCCGGTCACGCAACTGAAGGCCCCCTGCGTGATTTTCTGCAAAACAATTAGCGTTGAGGGTTTGGGGCTTATAACGTTTCAGGTTTTAGGTTCAGGGTGTCTGCCTGCAGATGAAGGGTCCCTTGTCCAAGAAACCATCGAAAATACGACTTCTTTAAATTCCCTAGCTACGGCCTCAATTCCCACCGCAAGATCATCCCTCTGACTTTGATCACGGGCCGGCGGCAGGTGCCCCAAGCAATGCGCCGCACCCGGCCAGGACCACCCACAACAGGGGCATGCTCCACAGTCTCCAGGGGAAAATCAACTGTGCATTGTATGTATTTGGCCCAGCTGGGGCTGGCGCTGGAGGCTGGATAGTGCTTGCCGATGTACGGGGGGAGCCCGATTCGGCTCTGCGTACCCATCCACTCTCCAAAGGCCGCATTGTCTTGGGAGGACGGATGTAAAAGCTGACGTGTCTCTTCAGTGTTTGACAAATGGACGGAAACAGCCTCGACAAGCTGGGAGGGAATTTAGGGTTCGGGCTTAGGGTTCAAAGTTTATTGTTCCTGGAGAAGGATTGACAAAACTTGAAACAATTCCCTCACATCCTACAGACCCCTAAACTGATAATCTTTACTGGCGAAGACCTTCAGCCTGTCCCACCATGTAGCTAAGTTTCCCCTGTTTACCTTCGTGCCCGACATTTGGCTCCGGAAAATCTGGAACTTAGAACGCGGATCTCGGACACTCCAAAAAGCTAATGGTACCTGGAGGGCCCCAGCCTTGAGTACTTCCTGTGTTCTGCATGCCTTATAAGTAGGTCAGTACCTAGGAGTCTGCTCTTGTCTCTCTGGGCAACTTGCCGCTGTACATACACTGAAGTGGGTATGTTCAAAGGTCGGGGTCCCTCATACCTACCCCAGAATACTACTCTACTTATTCTCCTCACCATTGGGATTCCCCAAAAAGGGACCCAACTTCTGGATGATGGTTGCAGAGCCCATCCTTCATGATCGACGTCAGTGCCCCGAGGTGATCAAAGGCAAGACCACCACCCCCGACGCACTGCCCGCTGACCTAGATCTTGGGGACTAGGGTTCAGGGCTTATGGTAATTCCCCAACATAAGAGGACCCCAATGTAGATCCCAGTATACTATAATCCTGATCGTGAGGACCCACAAAATGGTACCCCTAATATTGGGAAACCCCCACATAGGGCTTAATCCTTTGTCGTTCTGGTTATTCAAGAGATTCTGGCCTGCTCTGGCCATGTCATTCAAGAACTCCATTAGCTGACGATCTAGGAACACTGTGCCGATGACTTGTACTGAAGGGAATGCCACATGAAGTTGTCGAGGATGCAGGACATGTCCGGGCAACGTTTCGTTGTTGCAAGAAGCACTGCTGCATGTTATAGAAAGGTATAGTCCACCTGAGACATGTACAATGTGCAAATAAAGAGCGCATCCATGTTCTGTAAAAAGTCTGGCAAATACATATTTCCTAAGGTGATGTGAAATTAAGGCCAGACATGGCTGAACACTCGGTAAGAGCCTCGAAATGCTGTCATCAGCAGGCCCAGACCATCCCGCCCTCTTCAAAATTTGGGGTCGTCCACTGGAGTACATCTTACGGCGTGGTGTCCGTAGACAACTGAATATCATACAAGGCAGTAAAGGAACTTCCTCACAACAGTATAAGCAGGTGCAGAACTGCAGCGAGGGTTCCTGAAGAAAGTTATTGTTGCAGCTGCTGCTATTTGAGGCAAACATCAATTTTGGTCACTCTGCATGCGTAGTGTGCGTTGTTCATGGAATCTACAGGGACTCATCTCCTGCAGTCTAGACTCTCTTTCTGCGGGCAAGAATTGATTGAATAGTTGTAGATGTGTCCTGCACATCTTGCCTGTTGGATTGCTGGATCAACCCTTCCACTCCTGAACTCTGGAAAAATTGTCTGGTGGTGAGCAGGGATCACCTGACAACCCTGAGATCACCCCCAAGAAAACACACGTAAACTATGCCATTTACTTCAATTCCAGGGAATCGCCATGAAGGGACACTAGCCTTCGTGGGACTCCTTTTGGGGGTTTGATACATCCTTCGCAGCACCTTGCATCGCTGAGCCTGTACACCCACCTCGAAATTCTCTGAGGCTGCTGCACAAAAGCTGCACTCAAATGCACCACCAGTGCACGGCCCAAGACCGATTCCTTTGGACTTGAAGCTCTCGGCGACCTAAGGATCTGGACACAAGCATTCCGATGATTATATGAAGCCCTACTACGCCACCCGCTTGCTAACTGACCCCTCACCCCAGACTAACCCCCTTACCACCAAAACAGGGGCTCGGTCTCATTTTGTGTGTTGGGAGTAGACAGGTACTGTCACCCAAGGCTTATAGGGCCTAGGCCCGGCTTCCATCACAGGGGTCGGCAGACAGATTCTACAAACTGGAAATGAACATGATCGTCCACGAAGCCTCCAACAAGGCCGCGCTGGACAAGGACCTCTTGGCCCGGTGGAGTCGAGACATGATGCCTCAGCTCGCTGTCCACTATAAGGGGAAAATATGTCCGAATCTATGTATTTACGTTTACCACAGATACATCCATGTGTATGCAGTGCAGGCATGTCTACATCAAGTAAGCGAGTCTACGTGTTCTAAGCAGCCAAGCAGACTTCATGTCACATCGTGTAAGACACACCGATTATCTTGCATGTGGCTTACGAGCAATGAAAAAACTAGCACTGTTTCCAGCAGTCGGCCGCAACTTTACGATTGCAACCAACTGCGTGGGTTCCATCGAGCTTTCTCTGAGAAGGCAAGATCTTGCGACACATTAGTGCTGATGTGCAAGCTGCTGGCAATCTGTTTGTCCAAAGACAATGTTTTTGTGCAATACCGTCTACCCTTCCAGGCCAATCGTAGCGAATGGAATTAACAGTCCTCGAATCGAATTACTGGTTGAAACGGCTCTGCTCCTGAGACCTAGTCAGCACTCTATGACTAAGAAGTTTCTTGATCTGAAGCGGTCCAAACGCCACCGACATACCGTGAATACAGTATGCGGATGGACAAACCTCTGACTAGACTAAACGGCTCACTTCAGAAACGGATTTCTTACACTTCATCAGCTACACTTCACGTTCACCGCAAGTGTCGAAGTTGACAGGCGCAACTTCGAGCCCGGAAGAAAAGGACTCACGCTCACATCAAACTCTAGCCAGGCTGAGCTCTAACAATGTGTGATGAGTTGCCGCTCCTTCCAGTCTCTGCAAAGAAGTGACCCCGCCACGTACCCCAAAGTTCCAGATTCCTTATGACTCCCCAGTAAAGGCCCTGAGTGTTGGAGACCTTATCTTAACTTCATGTTGTAAGGGTAATACCCGCTTTTCCCTGCGGGCTAATTTCAATGTTCTTGCTGCTGTTGTTATCACCGTCGCAATTGCTTGCAATTGTTTGCTCCGTGTACCCTAAATCCCCAGACTCCCAACCCTAAACTCCAAACCCTAAATCCAAAATTCCCAACCCTAAACCCTAAAGCCTGAATCCCAAACCCCCAAACCCCTAAATCTCCAAACCCCAACCCTAAACTCCCAAACCCCCACCAAAAAAAAAAAGGAAACGCGAAACCTTTGCCGAGACTCTTGGCCTGAGTGTCTCTAACTCCTCCATGTGCTGCGCATCACCTGAACCCCCACACACACACACACACACACACACACACACACTTGCAGGCATCCCCGGAGGGATGTAGAAGATTTAGTTACAGCTTCACACTTGCTTGCTCACGTCAACTTGTCTGTGACATGTACTGACATGTCTGCACACT